TAATAATCGTCAGACAAGAAATCAACTTAGCTTTTTAGTTTTTTAGCAGCAAGGAAATACCGCGTTCCCGGGGGTCAGGTTAGTGACCAGCAGAATGAAACTCACTATAGAAAAATTGTTCGTAAAATAATCCCAGTATAGCGATATATATATATATATACACAGGTAATGGTATATATGTGAATTTTACTGATTATGATGTGGATTATATAACATACTGAAAAAATGATGGAACGATTCCACAACCTGCGGTATTACATAGTAAGTTATAATAAAAAAAAATAGTTTATGGCTAAGCACTTGAAAAGTATTCCTGGTATTCTTTACGCACACATATCAACTAAATTTGGTAATATAAATTTGGCGTAGCGCAAATAACTTGGTAAATGAAAAGTTGCAGTTAACATAGTAAACAACATTCAAATTAATTTTTTGACTCATTTTTTAAAATAATCATTTTATTTTTTTGACAAGGTTCATCATTGAATATGCCTTAAAAATGGTCTTTACAACGGTATTTCTTAATGACTAATACTTGTTCAAGAGCGCACTTGTCTTACATTGCTATTTTCCTTGTTTGCGAATAATTACAGTATTTGTCACCTTGTTTGTGACACCACAATGGCATTTTAACGTTTCAGACTAAAATTACGTAATTATGTTTTTTTTCGAGACAAATTATCTTGAAGTTTTGTTGTTTTTGTGATAAAATCAACTTCCTGGATCGGAAATGTTGGTTTCGCATCCGCGGTACCGGAATACCGTTAACCGCACATTCATATATCGATACCGAATACTATGAGTTATAAAGTCGCTACTGTCTAAGAGACTTTTTGCAACAACGAAAAATGTTGTCTAAAACACGGTTTGGTTGAATTGGCTTCACCAAAGGTGTCTTTCCGTGGTACTACAACTTGAACTGCAGCAAGTCTTTTTCCAGCTGATATGTACTGGCATAACCGCAACGACATCAAAAACCACATGTGCAGCCCTAAGCGCGGAAGTGCTTACCTGCAACTTCTTATAATTACCCATTTAATGTTGCTAATTCCCAATATTAATTGAGAAAATTCACTAAAACTCGCCAACGCCGAAGCGTTTTCAAATATATCATTTTCAGCGATTCTGATTTCTATAAGTAATTTGCGACGAAAATTAATAAATAAGCTGGCAATTATAAGCACATTTTACCTTGTGCAACCCCATTCATAACGTAACGTATAAACCTTTTGCATATTACATAAATAAAGACACGCTCGCTAAATCGCTCTGAAGCCCGGTCGAGACTGTCGCTCGGTGTGGCAGGCATTTAGGCTGATTCGACCCGCGGCGTAAGATTAGTTCGGGGAACTTTTATGACAATAGCAATTGTATGAGATTTGATACGCTATTGTTTCGAAACTAATAATGACTGGTGTAGCATTCGTGATATCATAAACTATCACCTGTGAGTTCATAATCGTTTTCAAATTTGCTATTATGAATCATAATGAACATCCGACAATGAGAAGACGATAATATCTTATCGTTAAATGTTTATTAATTTGGCGATTTATGTTAAATTTTGCGAATATGTCTAATTCTCTCAGCCAATAACGGAAGAAATAAATTTTGATGCGCGCAGTGTGCGGGAACAAACGCTCACATAAAATACTAAATCTAATTCTAAAGAAATTGAATGCAAAAGGTTTTAAGTGCTCACAAATTTCAACTTAACAACTGTACTGTTTATCGATGATTTCACTTCACAAACAGGCCTGTTTGTTGCTTTTTGATGATTCACTATTTTTCAAAAAAGTTAAGATTAAATTGAAAAATCGTGAGTATTTTTGTATATACGTAATTTTTAATATATACAGCCCTATGATATTATTACAAACGAGAAGAATTTTTTGAATTGCCCCAAAATAGAAATTTTCTTTCAGTTGATTATGTGCAACAAAGTATATTTTGTTTACCTCGTTTTTATACTCAAATTAATAATATATTATATTGTGAGATTTAAATTGAAACATCGATTGTATTCTATCACTTGTTCTTTATATAATATCTGTAATTATGATCATTGTCACCAACCGCAGACCCGACACCGCCATTCTCTTGTTTTCCGCAAAAATTCGCAACGTTGCGTTTCGGAAACCGGACTTTTTCGCACAAAAACACTCACTTTTCGTGTTAAATCAGTGTTCACTGTTTTAGTGTTCCCATTTACAAACATGAATTACAAAACATGAATAGCTGTAAACAATACCTTCTTTATAAGATTGCAATCTATCCAACCATAGGATATTTTTGACTACGCGGCGCGTATGGTATATAAAATGTATAACAACCTTAATTAACAACAGGAAAAAAAATTGCACATTTGTGTGGAATAATATTTTGAAAGCTCATGAAAACCAGATATTAAATTAGATTTTTGCACGATTTACTTATATTATTTACGTTTATTTACATTTTATATAAATATGTAAAATCTTCAAATTTGCAATTTTTCGGTGGATTATAATTTGTATAATTTATTTGAACTAATATTTACGAAAATGCAGAATCAATTCGACAATTTTGACGGTTTTCATCGCGCACATCTATTCATGACGCATGTTTATAATCGATATGAAAACTGTATTCTTACCCCAATATAATAATATAAATACAAATATTCTAGAAAACTAGTTAAATTCTCCAATATAAAATTTCCTCATTTTTGTGTTATTTAGCGTTTTGTGACGTTCTGCTTTGTGATGTCATGTGACACAAGTTAAAAATAATGAACTATAAAGAATATTTAACGCACGGTTTATTACGAAAACAAAACACATAACCAAGGACACTAAGTTAAAACCTATCAAAGATAGACTTAAAAATAATTTTTCACAAATTATTTGTCATCGTTATATTATTTTCTCTCTTCTCAATAGACCCACACTGAAAAAGTACGTGACTCGAAAAATTCACAAAAAAAAATTAAGTTTCATTTTAGTGCGTTAACCGGATTATTTATTCAGATTACAGTTATTCAGAAACTGCAAATTTTATCGTCTTATTTACACCCACATTTAGTCCTGTTGAAAAGCTCCCATTGTTACTTTCTTTTTAATACCGAGTTATAAGTATTATTTCATGACATTGAATTAAGTATTAGTACTCAGAATTAACAGGAGAATAGATTGTAAGCCTATTAAATCTATTTTTTGATCAAAAACAAGTAAACCAACGTATCGCCGTTTAGAAACATACCTGTAAACAATTCAAACAAAAAAACACTGACTAATTTTCAAAGTGTTTACTAATTTTGAATAGTTTTTTTTGATTTGAACGGGTACCCATAGTTTAGTTGAATTCTCAGATTGTTTGTAGCGCTTAGATTATTTATTCTGTGTCGAGCGATATTTATCGACGCTTAACTCACCGCTATAATTCTGCATAGTTTCTATGGATCCTGGCATTTTATTCGTTGCCTATAATTTTTTCGGGGATGAATGTTCTTTACTTGTGGGTGACTTCGCTTTGGGTAAATTCCCTAAAAAAGGAGATCGTATTTCGCAATAAATCGCTTTGACAACAGTAGTTTTTATAACTCACATTTATCGGTATCGGTATATGAATGGGTGGTTAACGGTATTTCAGTGCTGTATGCGGTTAACCAACATTTCAGATCCAGGAAGTTGATTTTATTACACTAGAAAGGTAGCTGTCTGATCAGGATTATCGTCACCAATATTCTTGAAAGTTTAACACATTCTTTAGAGTTTGGTCAAAATTATTCATTCAACGAACTTCCTATTTAAGTTCACGATTCATAACGCCATTTTAAAGAAATATAAAATCTCTTTAACATTAAATTGATCGAATTAATCTCAAAACCGCCTTGTAACGTACAGAATTAGTCACCATGTTTATGAGAATGGTACTTGTTGTCTCAAAATTTTTGTTTGTATATGTAAGCATACCTCGCCAAAAATTCAGATTACAAAGAAAAACTACTCATGGTATAAAAAAAAATGAAAAACGCGACAAAGAATATGCTAGAAGATAGATTTTTTCTCTCTTATGAATAGCCAGTTAAGAGTTTCCGACCTGTGCTCGGTTTAAAGGTTTTAGCTGCCTTGCGCTTAGTATAGAAATTGTTAGCAAGCGATGTTAACAAGAAAATAGAAAACTTAATATATTATTAGATCAGTATCAGGTAAAATAATCCCGAACTATAAATAACTCGTTATGTAGGTACAAAGAAATGAACAGAAGACACCAAGCAAAAAGAAATTAATAATCATAAGTAATCAGTAAATCGGAACAATATTAGATTAATAATCTTCGAAATAGTTAAAGGATAAGAGTAAACTTATTATATATAACGAGTCGGACCAGAATGGTCTGCATAGGATAGAAATTGTTTTACAAATTTAATAGCTAATGAAGCTGACTTAATTAAAATACTTCAAGAATGAAATATGGGGAATGTCCTGCTTTGTCAAAGTAAACGAGAAAAACGTGAGATGTGCGGATTTTGCGCGATTAAAATGAGATACAAAATGACAGTGGCAGAGTAGATTAACCGCTCTCAAAAGCATTAGGTAATCTTGCGTAGTTGAGTTGGGCAACCACAATGACTGAGCAAAGATCATTGTTTATTTATATTTTTATGAGGCGTTGTCGTCCGTGGTTAGTTTTATATGTATTTAAAATCGGACTTACTTTTCAAGTGGAAGTGTGTGCCCGCCATTCAAATGACATAATGACTGCACACAACGCTATATTTTGTACTGCAGCTATGTTTAATACGTCAGTTAAGTAAAGGATCGCCCGGGAATAACTGACTCTTTGTTCAGTATTTTTTTTTAAATATAAATACAGATTAAAAACGGATGTGTTAGGAGTTTTCTCTCAGGCAATGAGCGATTTGTGTAAATATTTACTGAATGGAATTCTAAATTAATGAATTTCAATAATGAAATATAATTCTGATATAATATTTTTTTTATTTCTGCATCTTTCAGAAAAAAATCTCCTGCGCGAAATAAAACGGAGCAAATTTGCTGAAGCTTACACTTGTGACGTCAGCACTGTGCTAACTTATCGATTCCGAAAATTATCGGCTACTTTTATTATTTTTACGACGACGACTTTTTCCAAAGTCAAAAAGAAATTTCTTCACATTCTTATTGTTATTAAAATTATCATTGTCGCGTAACAATGGATGATTATCAAATAGAGCAAGAAAATGACGAAACAATCGATGTGACGTCACCAATTCCATCTCCAAAACAACCAATGGAAGGAGGACACGTGAAGCGACCAATGAATGCTTTCATGGTATGGTCACGTGGACAACGAAGAAAAATGGCGCAGGAGAATCCTAAAATGCACAACTCAGAAATCTCAAAGGTAATTTAATATAAAAAATCGTAAATTTCAAAACTAAATTGCGATATATGTTTCCTATATTTTTAAAATTCAGGCTAGGTCTTATTTTCAGTTAAACAACGTTAGTATGGTTCTTACATCTTTTCTTTCATAGTTTTTACTGTCTTGTGAAATCAGTATGTGGCAAAGTTTGCGGGCGAGTTGTTTAGTCGTTGCTTGGAATTCAAGGAATTGGTACTAAACACTCTGAGTTACTTCCAATGATTCACACCAGCCACAGTAAATAAATCTAAAAAATTCAAATCAGTATTTCAAGCAAATTCAGTAATGGCTGTTTTTAAGAATAGAACAACATTTTTGTCCCGAAAAGGTCTGTAAACAAAAAGGTACTTGAGATAATTTACTATTTTTTGGATGACTGGAAATTCGCTACGATTACGTATACATATATAGTCAACCCAATTTATTAAACTTAGAGAAGTTGTGAGCGTGGCGTTCGAACGAGATATCATTTACTGCGACACTGATCCTTCGACCCAACTAGCAGCTAATTCTCTAAAAAAATTGTAATTTTACAGAGACTTGGAGCCGCATGGAAACTTCTGAACGAAGGTGAGAAACGTCCTTTCATTGACGAAGCCAAAAGACTCCGTGCTCTTCACATGAAGGAACACCCAGACTACAAATACAGACCAAGAAGAAAACCAAAATCAATGATCAAATCCAAGGAACGTTTCTCTTTCCCACTTTTCCCTTCTAGCATTGGAAGCCCAAACTCTGCTGAGGCCACTTCAGCCGCGATTGCTATGGCTGCACAGCAAGCAGCAGGTTGGTGCTTTGGTAACTTGATTACAATATTTTTCTGTTTGTTAGGGTGGGGGGAGTGGGAGGATGATATATAACAAAAAAAAATTCTGACATACTCACTATAAACAAGACTAACTTCAATAACCTATCTTCTTTATTCCGGTAAATAAATGCATAAAATATTTCTACCATTCACAAGTGCAATTTGACTTTACTAGACCTACTTATTTTATGCACATCTTCGCAATTTTTGTTCAAATTTTCCCCTAAAAACTAAGGAAATTTCAACACTAAAAAAAGATGAGGTGGCGATTGAAGTTCAGCAATACTTAGTCTATAGGCCTAATGGGCTACTCACCGCATTTCATCTCGTCTTCCACCGTGAATCGTAGATATATAACTAGATTGAAACTTATTTCAACGGGTAACCATACCGTTTTCATTAACTGCCAAGATTAGCTCAAGTCCTTGTCAAAGTAACACAATTCATTAGACAAATACGAGATTATCATAAGTCCAATATCGGATCATTCCATTAAACTATATCTTATATTTACAGTTGCACAAATGACTTTGGACCCGATTGCTGCAGAAAAAGCAAGAGCAGCCGCAGCAGCTTTCTTCCCTACGTCATCTGCTTCGTCATACTTGAATGCACTTGAAATGACGTCAAATTCACAGTCTTTGGCTAGACTCGCAGCAGCCGTCCGTGATTCACCACTTTACAGCGCTGCCTGCTCCGGCATTTATCCTTCGCCTACTTACGCCAACGGTAAGTTTACAAATACAATGCCTGAAGATCTATATGTTTTTTGCATTTTTCCTCGTTTTCGCTATGAACAGACTGAATGCCTCATCTCTGAAATAATTTTGTCAAAATACGATGTATACTATCTTGAGTTATCATGTCTTTGATTCCTAATTCGGTGACAAGTATTTAATAATTTGTCTCAGAATTCCTATTCTGTGTTTATTTACATTTCGCAATATTTTTGTTTCTATAATATTCTTTGTGATGCAAAAATAAATTGTTAATAATTATATTCATTCTATATTTCAGCTGTCACAAGCAGCGCGTTCCTGCCATCAGCCTGCGCAACAGCCGCAGCACGTTCATCCGGGCCACCATCCCCAGTGATGAGTCCATTCATGCTTCCGGGGTCATGCTCTCCTACCTGGTCAACTTCCGCACTTCAGCGTCCCCTCGCCTACATCTTCGTACCGGGCGCGGCCGGACAGGGATTCGCAACGAGCCCCCTCAAATCGGGACTTGACTACTACACACCGATGCCACTTTCTGCCATGTAAATTACATGATGTCATCAACAATATGACGAACTGCTCGGCATCCGCAGTCCGAGGTGGAGAGCAGCAATGCATAACGTCATAAAATAGTGACGTCGTAACGAGAAGCTTGCGCTAAATGTGTAATTACGCTTTACTTACAAATTGACGAAAAGTCGTTTTATCATACGACATATCATTTTTATTTTACTTTTATTTTTTGTCAGAAGTTTATTATTTTTTATTTTTATTTCCAATTCTTATTATAATTGTATAACTCACAACGACCCCATCAAAGGGAGACCAATCGTACTACTAATATGGTGACAGTTTTCATTTTGGTGTTTTTCCATCATTTCATCACAACCTCAACACTTGTGTACTTGTGTTGCAAAACAATGATCTCTGTGATGTCACAAGGTCAAGCATGTATATGAAGTTTAAATAACATTCAATAACAATCGTACTTCAAAAAAATCCATAAAAATAGTCAACCATTTCAAGGAAATTGGACAGATAAATCGCATTGAGACACAGAAAATTCAACGTGAATTTCCATATTTATAGTTTTAGTAACTATCATAGAAATTCATTACAGTCGACAACAACGATTTTTTTGTAAAATACGAAATATGACCACAAAAGTTTGATTATAAATTCCCAATACCCCACACAAACCCTCAAAAGCCCTCAAAGCTCACAAGGGGGATTCAATATGATTGGATTCGCGTGCTTATTGTTTATTCAGATCTCTTTAACACCGTACTCAAGTCTAGGCCACTCCTTCACAGAACTTCCGAAACGTTTATTACTTTCATAACATTTTTTTCAGTTTGGCTTTCTTCATTCATATGACGTCATCAATATAAGACGTCATAAACATTTTTAATTAACAGAGCATTAATCCCTCAATAACTTGTATAAAATTCAATTTTAATTTGTGGCATCGACATTGATTGACTGAGCCTGTGACGTCATATTCTACTGACGTCACGCCAAAAAATAATATAACCAACATTCATCATTTTCTTGGTGAATAAAAAGCCCCGCCACAGTTCCATGTACGTAGATTTTTTTACTTTTTATAATTTTTCGATTTTAATTGAAATCGTCAATAATGTGACTCACGTGCCAAAGAATATTTACCATTTACGACAAAGGCGACGTTCTCGCTGTAATTGGGTGCTACTAACTGGTGTTTCTGGTGAATTTTTAGCGAAATATTAATATTCAGGAGAAATGTTGGGGCACATTTTACCCCAACGTAAAAGTTTTCTCTCTGTGTTAATTATTTATTGCTTTAATCATTTCCTTCCCGTCATTAATTTATCACGTGGTCATTTTTAGCCAATCAGAAATCATATATGAGTTTATTTGTTCATCAATAGATTTCGATTGGTCAAACTAGATCACGTGATACATTTTGGCGGGAAATATTGTAAAGCCATGAATTGAACAATCATGAAAGACGCAGATTTAATTATTGTCGAAAAAACAGTTTCATTGTTCCAAAAATTTCGTCAAAAATTATTCTTAGAATATTTCTTAGACTTATTCCAAATTCTTGTTCCAGTTTTTTTTTACCGTTTTGGAAAAAGCAAAAATTTCGGTAAAAATTTTGTTTTTCTAAAATCGAGACGACGTTTTTATATTGAAAATTGCAACTAAAAACAATTGAGTGGTAATTCTATTTATTTTTCCTGGACAGGATATCTTACAAGATTTTCAAGTTTATTCTAATAATTATTTCCTCATTAATGACGTTAAAATTCGGTAAGAGAAAATTATATTCGAATTGTCCAGATTTTTATAATATTGTTGAAACGATGACGTCGTTGTATGTCATTACAATAGATTCAAGTCACAATCTATTTTTTGTTAAGTTGATAAAACTTTAAATATTTACTTATTGAATGATCTAACGTCTTTCGTCACTCGAGACGTCATTTTTACATCATCAATAATTATTTGTTGGCTACACCATGCTAGATGCAATTTTTCCTCTGTCATCACTAAAGGGCACAAATTGCTGTTTCAGCATTATCCCCCTGTCCTATAATGGCTGCATTTGTCGAATAGATGAGCTCAAATTAAATACAAGTATATAGTCCCTAAATAAAATAGTATATCGTAATTTTGAATTACTTTTTCAACACCAGCACGGAAACAAATTTCATCCCTTCGAAATAGAATGTGTCTAGGAACACAAATGTGTTTCGATATTACAAGAATATATATTCATAGGGCGGTCAACAAAGTCCTAAAATTTCTCAAAATTGCAAAAGAAATTTATCGATACTATATATTGTTTTGGCTCTCACGGATGTATTAAATGAAGTGAGAATACTAAATTACCCATCAAAAAACAACAAACCTGGTTAAGATATATTGAGAACTGACTTCATAACGAAATTGAAACGGTGAAGGGACTTTATATGGACCTACAATATAAATAGTAATGGGTCGTTATTTTAGAGTGAGATTAGCATCTTCATTTGCTTATTTACTGAACGTTCACCATAAATGACCAATATATGTATTATTCTCCTGTATGTGTCTTCTATCAATAATTAATCATTGTTTTATCCTCGTTCAAGTTTGAAACATCTATACCTTAATCGATAGTGTAATTTATATTTGTTTCATACTTAATCGGGTATAATCAAATGTGACTTGATTTTCGCAATTGTTTGTGAAATTTAAATAAGATAATAATCGAAATACAAAAACTTTGAAATTTTCAAAAACTTTTATGTGTGCTTCATATGGTGTTTGTGGATATAAGGTCAAAGTTAAAGACAAAAAGATGAAACGGGAAAATTTTATATTTTTCCCCTGTAGTACAGATTAGCGTTAGAGAATAGGTCAATAAGTAGCAATTGGGTTTAGAAAGTGATGTTTGAGTGATTGGCTGAGAGATATCAAAAAAAAGTTGACCAGTTAATCGCTTTTTGTTTCATAGGCACTGCCTTTTTAGAGCATTTCGTACTTCACAAATCACCGAACTTTGGGTACAAAATTTTGCGCTTTGATTAATGGCACATTTGGAAAAAAATGTTTTCAGTGATGCTGATTCATTCACAAATAAGATGGGTGGACCAGAAAATAAAATAGTTTTTTTTTGTCAGACACGGTGTCAAGAACCAGCGCACTGTAAGTAAGCAAAACGGAGAGTGATTAAAACAGAAGATTTTCACTGAAGATTCCAATTAAATGCGGAGTAGTGGCACCATATGTTAATGTAGTACAGTACAATCTTGGTGCCTATAAGGCGGTCCAATATCCATTGATGAGATCCATCTTCATTCCTTATAGTCTTTCAGTTATATTACGTCTATCTGCCTTTGGATAACGAAAATATTACAATTTATTTTTTATTTCGAAGAGGGAGGGGGGGGGGGGCATATGCCCATATGAACCAATACCCATTGATGTGGCTCTATGTACATCACTGTTTCGTACTGTACTGGCATGGACATTACGTCTGCCTTTGGATACCGAGGAGAATAATACAATTTTTTTTTTCAAAGAGATGGGGGGGGGACCGGGTTGGGGGCATATGCCCATATGAACCAATACCCATTGATGTGGCCTTACGTACATTACGTCTAGCTGCCTTTGGATACCGATAATATTACAAGATTTTGTTTGTTAAGAGCCTTTATTTAAGCGAAATTGTAAATAACGCCAATATTTATTTTCGTCAAACAATATACAAAAATAGTTAAAATGGTCCAAATTTATACGTACCAGCTTATTTTTCAAAGCCTCGTTTCAAACGAAATTGTAAATTTCACCGAAATTTATTTTTGTCAAAAAATATGAAGATAGTTAAAGACACAACCACTTGAATGCAAAATTTTCATTGAACCGTGGTATTTGTTTTTGCGCGTGGAATGAAATTTGATACTCTATATTTTATTCCCACAGGTTCACTTTCTGATTTTACTTAAATTGTATGGGAATGGAACCCACGGAAAAAAACAAAAATATTAGAAAATATGTAGTTTAATATACAGGGTGTTCTTAAAGTCTTAATTTTATTTAAAATTTGCAAAAAGAGTTTATCGATACAATATATTGTTTTAGTCCTCACAAATGTATCAAATAAAGTAAAAATACTCGAACAATTACCGATTAAAAAACAACAAACCTGGTTAGTTTAAATTGAGAACTGACATCATAACAAAACTGGGACCTACAGAAGTATGCGCACCAAGATGGCGCACAGCCTGAACATAGTATGTGTATACCGGTTAGGATTCAGGTTGTGCGACATCTTGGTGCGCATACTTCTGGAGCACCCAAAATTGAGTACTATTTGTAACAAAACTTGTCTGCAATTGCTTTGTGGTTAGGTGAACTTTGTCAAACAACAGTTCCAAAAATAACTCCAATTTATATTTTTGAGTTTTTGTAATTTTGGCGTGCTTCACGACCTAAATGTATTTATTCTTAGGCGACGAATTTTTGCAAAACAATGAATAGGCAATTGACCAAACGCCATTCAAATTTTTGCAATTTTCGCGTGTTTCATAACTCAAATAAAATATTTCTTTTTTGATAGCAATTTTTCAAAAAAATTTGTGCAACACATTAAATGAGCATTTGAATGAATATTGAACCAAACTTTAAAATAGCGCTTCGTATTTTTGCAATTTTGAGCAATTTTCGGCGTTTTTTTACAACTCAAATAGTATTTATTTTTTAAGATCAATTTTCGCAAAAATATTTGTGCAACACAGTAAAAAGGCATTTGAATAAATATTGAACCAAAGTGCAAAAATGACGATTTTGTTTCAAAATTTTGCAATTTTTGGCGTGCTTCACATCATGAATGCATTCGTTTTCTTGCAAAATGTTTCCCGCAGTCTAAAAATAACACTATTTTATTTTTAAATTTTTGCAATTTTGAGAAATTTTCGGCATGCATGTACGAAATCTTTGCAAAAATTTTTGTGCAACACAGAAAATACATATTTAACTAAATACTGAGCCAAACCCAAAAGTAAACGCTGATATCGTATATCACCAAATAACGTTTGAAATATGAGAGACGTTGCATTTAACTTTGCCACATTGGCCACATTTTAACATTAAATAATAACAATAATGGAGGTGGTGAATGTATGAGGAATTTTCTTAAATAAAATTTAAAATTAATTTCGTTTTGAACTGATTTTCTTAGGAATTCAGTAACTTATATTGGTGTTTCCCAACCTATGGATTGCGACCCAAAACTTGGTCGTTTCAAAATTATTTTGGGTCGCTTTGATTTTTTCAACAAAAATCTAAAAGTTTGTGATTTTAATTTCTAGTCAATTCTATCGCTTATTTTGTATCGTGTATTGAAGTGTTGCTCAAAAGTAATTGTATAAGTAGAAAATATCACATGTTGGAAACTTGTAAGCATTTAATTTATTTAAGTAAAGTCATGCCAGGATTTCAAAAAATTGCTGATGGCTAACAAATAATAATAATTAGTATTTAAGCATATCCTTGGGTCGCCAGATTTAATAACTTTTTTTTCACAAAATTTGGATTCTTTGAGAAAATGTCACTGACAAATATTTGAAAGCTTAGAAATAGGAAGTTTGAAATATTAGTTTCAACAAGTTTTAAATAAAAAAAATACTGAGACGATTTCTATACAAATTTATATTATTTATTTATTTTATTATTTACATTATTATTTGAACTACCATTTTTTTTTAATTAAATCGGGAAATATATCAAACTCAGTACAAAAACGCTAAAATAGGTCCACTCTCATTGTCTGAAGTATTCAAAAAAAGAGTAATTGAATTCAGATTCGGAAAGTTTGAGAATATGAGATTCGTTTATTCCAATTTTCGCACTCGGCTTCTTAGGCATTCAAAAAATAATTAGATGTTACATTATCAGATAGTTTGAGCTGTAACATTACTTATATTCTCCAGTGTTTTATCATTACTATAATACATATTCACATACACATAATAAACTAATTATACCACACAGAAACGAAGTGCGACTTGAACATACAATTATTTAAGGATTCATCAGAGATTTGATAAATGAAGCAGTTTTGTGGGCGCGCACAACCTGCTAACCCTAACCTGGTACACATACTATGTTCAGGTTGTGCGCCATCTTGGTACGAATTCTACGGAACACCGTTTTGTGATCGCTCCTGAAATGTGTGTTCTAATACGAAGGTAACTAATTTTGTTCGCCTACTTTACATCAAGTTGTGTAAAGGGACTGAAACCTATGGGCAGGGGGTATATTCACTTGGCTAACACAGACAGTCCCTGAACTCGCAATAGAACTAAAATAAGGAAAATCGGAATAAAATTATGACTTGACCTTAACGTTGTACACATACTACGGGAGTATCGTTTTGTGCATAGGGAGAGAAGAATAAGTTCCAATACAGGCAAAAAGTGGAATTTTACAAAAAGATTGGGAACCGCCGCCTTAAGCCATCGTATTGTATAAGTGTGAAATGTCATAAATTATCTTATCCAAGAATTCATTGCTCCAGGCTATGTAAGATATCGCTAACGTTTCAAAAAAACTCGTTGAATAATATGACATAAAGATTAAACATGAATTTTTTGCCAAATAAAAACGGAAAAATCGAATTCTACGGCTGAGAAAATGAGCGAATACCACAAACGCCTTGCTTCTGCTGTAGTTCCAAATAAAAACGAAAAATATCTTAGTCAAAAGTGACAATTCTTGACTGTCATACAAGATAAATAAGTGATAAGTTTTATTCGAAATGATTACGTGTTATGGCCTGCAGGTTCACATTTATTTTTGCCGAAATAGTCAATTCTTGTCGACCATAAGCTAGAATCAAACATAGATGCGTTTTTTTAGATTTGCAAGCCCGAACAAGAAATATTATGTTATTCAAAATAACCAATTTTTGAAGGGAGAAACCTAGGGGCCGTGAGCTATTCTTTCAATTATTAAAATACTGACTTGGCCAATTTTGTAACTGCCGAAAGAAGCAATATCGGAATTAATAAAATTTGACAACGGTAGCGTCGAAATATGGCAATAAGGCGGTAATTCCAATACAACATAAGTTAACGTAAATTTGTGCTCGGAGTAAATAAGTCATTTTTCAATTGTGGGAATAAAAAAAATATTTTTCCAATTTTCATTTCATGAATAGGCAAACATTTAAAGGAGCCACCATCTTTCGAAAGGACTAGAATCTTTCTATGGAATCAATAGCCTATGCCCTATAACAGGGTGGTCCAAGATTGGCAGCTCCGCGGGCCACAAAATTACTTCTGCATTGTTCGCGGGCCACAATAGTGCCAAGAACTTCGCTCGTTTAACTTCGCTAGTTGCCTCAGCAAGCCATAACACTAATCAATTCAGGGACATTAGTGATGCAACAATAGGACAAAATATTTTTTGGTTCATTTTATGACGAATTAACAAGAAATGCGATTTTTTGATTTCTCTCCAAATGCGACGAGGGCCAAAGATAATGAAGTGGCGGGTCACGTGTGGCCCGCGGGCCTGGGTTTGAACCACCCTGCCCTATAATGTTTAATATTTCGACTTGAGACCCTTGAAATTCCGCTAGTTGATGCGGTCCAACATGGCAATTGAGAATTTTAGAATCCCCTTTGAAAATTTCTGACTGCGCTCCTGCATACTGCCCAAGTATTATAATGAGTCATTCTTAGTGAATTCCCTTTCGTAAAGGACTAAAAATAAAGTTTTCATTAAATTGTGATTT